TAATTTTTAAATTGAGCTTGGACATTTTCTTTGGCTCTAGAGAAAATATTTATGCCATATCTAGCATACATTAAAAAGGTATTATAAAAAATCAACATAAAAATCACAAAGAATTGTGAGTCATTTAATTTTTTTTAAAAAGTAAAGATGATTTAGTAAAAAGTATCTTACTCTTTGACTTGAGTTTTGAATTTTCACAAACCTATGCATTCCATCTAATACACGAAGTTTAAAATGGAATATGAATGTCATGTGGTTGACTTCAGATATTGTTATCCATATTAAATATTTGATAATTTACAGATATGATTAAAGTGCCTAAAAACACAGCATACATAGGCTCAGAGGGTAATTGTATTGTATCTAGAATTACAATGAAAAAAACATGCTCAAGTAGTTAAAAAATATACAAATATAAATGTAAATGTAAGTATAAATATAACCAAACATCAGTATTAAAAATAGAAGTCTCAGAAAGAACTATCATCCAAAATCTCAAGTAGAATGGGAAGCTGAATCATATACAAGCATACTTCAATTTTTGCACTCTGTAGATATTGCAGGTTTTTGTTTTGTTTTGTTTTACACATTAAAGGTTTGTGAGTCAAACAAGTCTTTTGGTGCCATTTTTCCAACAGCACTTGCTCACTTTTTGTCTCTGGGTCACATTTTGGTAATACTTGCAATATTTGAAAAGTTTTCATTTTGTATTATATTTGTTATGATGATCCGTGATCAGTGATCTTTGATGCTACTCTTTTAATTGTTTGGAACGCCATGAACCACAATCATCTAAGACAGCTAACTTGATAAATGCGTGTGTTTGGACTGCTCTAATGACCAGGCAGTCTATTCCTCTCCTTTGGCCTCTGTAGTCATTGACATACAATACTGAAATGGGGCCGGTTACTAACCCTCTAATGGCCTCTATGTGTTCAAGTGAAAGGAAGTGTTAGTTACATGTCTCTCACTTTAAATCAAAAGCTAGAAATGATTAAGCTTAATGAGGAAGGCATATTGAATGTTAAGACAGGCAAAAGGCTAGGCCACTTGCACAAAACAGTTAGCCAAGCTGTGAAAGCCAAGGAAAAATTCCTGAAGGAAATTAAAAGTGCTACTTCAGTGGATACACAAATAATAGTTTGGTTGCTTATATTTAGAAAGTTTTAGTGGTCTGGGTAGAAGACCAAACCACAACATTCCCTTAAGACAAAGCCTTAGAAAGGCCCTAATCCAGAGAAAGGCGCTAGCTCTCTTTAATTCTAAGAAGACCAAGAGAGGTAAAGAAACTGCAGAAGAAAAGTGTGAAGCTAGCAGAGGTTCGTTCATGGGGTTTAAGAAAAGAAGCCATCTCTGCTACATAGAAGTTAAAGGTGAAACAGCAAGCACTGATGTAGAAGATGCAGCAAACCACCCAGAAGATCTGGATAAGGTCATTAATGAGGGTGGTTGCACTAAACAACATATTTTCAATGTAGGGGAACGAGCCTTCTATTGAAAGAAGATGGCATCTAGGACTTTCATAGCTAAAGGGGAGAAGTCAATGTCTGACCTCAAAGTTTCAAAGGACAGGCTGACTCTCCTGGTAGGGGCTACTGCAGCCAGTGACTTAGAGTTGAAGCCAATGCCTTTTTTCCATTCTGAAAATCCTAGGGCCCTTAAAAATTATGCTGAATTCACTCTCCCTATGCTCTAAGAATGGAAAAACAAAGCCTGGATGGTAGCACATCTGCTGAAAACATGGTTTACTGAATATTTGAAGCCTACTGTTGAGACCTACTGCTCGAAAAGAAAGATTCCTTTCAAGATATTCCTGCTCATTGTAATGTACGTGGTCACCTAAGGGCTCTGATGGCGATGTCCAGCAAGAGGAATGTTGTCTTCATGCCTGCTAACACAGCACTCATTCTGCAGCTCACAGATCAAGATGCCATTTTAACTTTTAAGTCTTGGTATTTAAGAAATACATTTCATGAGGTGGTGGCTGTCATAGATTGTGAGTCCTCTGATGGATCTGGACCAAGTAAATTGAAAATATTCTGTAAAGGATTCACCATAGACACCATTAGGAACCTTTGTGATTCATGGAAAGAGGTCAAAATATCAATATTAACAGGACATTAGGAGAAGTGGATTCCCACACTCATGGATGACTTTGAAGTGTTCAGGACTTCAGTGGAGGAAATAACTGCAGACGTGGTAGAAATAACAAGAGAATTAGGATTAGGAGTGCAGCCCGAAGATGTTACTGAACTGTTATAAGCTCATGATAAAACTTTAATGGATAAGGAGCTGCTTGTCATGGATGAGCAAAGAAAGTGGTTTCTTGAGATGGAATCTACTCCTAGTGAAGACTGTTGAAATGACAACAAAGGATTTAGAATATTACATAAACTTAGGTGATAAGGCAGCAGAAAGTTGACTTTCAGTTTTGAAATTTCACTGTGGGTAAAATGTTACCAAACAGAATCACATGCTGTTGGTATCACATGAGAAATTCTTCCTGAAAGGAAGAGTTAATTGATGTAGTAAAATTCATTGTTGTCTTAGTTGAAGAAATTGCCACAGCACCCCCCAAAATTCAGCAACCACTACCCAGATCAGTCAGCAGCCATCAACATCGAGCTAAGAGCCTCCACCAGCAAAAAGACTGGCTTGCTGAGATCTCAGATGATGATTAGCATTTCTTGCCAATGAAGTATTTTTAAATTAAGGTATATGTGTGTGTGGTGTGTGTGTGTGTTTAGACATAATGGGATTTTTTTGTTTGTTTGTTTTTTTTTGGTTCCCCTACATTGAAAATATGTTGTTTAGTGCAACCATCTTCTTTAATGACCTTATCCAGATCTTCTGGATGGCTTGCTGCATCTTCTACATGATTTTTTAGACATAATGCTATTACACAGTTAATAGGCTTAAATATAGTATATCCTGGGATATCAAAAATTTATTTAACTTGCTTCATTGCAATATTTGCTTTATTATGGGAGTCTGGAACTGAACCTGTAATACCTCAGATGTATGCCTGTACAAAGTACCTGTGATACTGATTAAATTACTTTTAATGAAGGGCATGATTGTATATGTATGAACTTCTTTTTGTAACTATTGTGATTTATCAAAATCACAATCACAATAATTTTTAATATACAAAAATGTATATAACCAAACAAAGACTGATTACTGTATAATCTGTACACGTAAGCACACCATAAAAATTATCATAAATACCAATAAGACCTCCTTTATGGTCCCAGTTTTGCATCTTCATTGCTTATCTTCTGATGAGCATTAAAGAAACATACATTTTCAGAAATTCATTGGGAGGTGTCTTAGGTTGCTAGAATGAGGCTGCCTTCCTAACCATATTGTTATTTTTAGAATGCGAATTTCGATGAACTTTTGCTGTAGGACAAAAATGGCAAAAACATGTTGCTGGTAGATGGCACAACTTTGGGAGACAGAAGTTCAGGAAGACAGCTGAGTTTCAGCTGCAGCTTTAAAACCACTAGAGCAGGCGAAGAAGAAAAGAACACGTATATTCCTGCAGAGGTAGAGCCCACAGCCATCCATTGCTATGGGAAGCCAGGGCAGCATAGAGTGCTGCTGTGCTGAAAAGTGCAGATGAGTTTCAAGTTCACAGAAGGCTTGATCATAGCTACGTTGGAGTCTTTTCAGGGTAATAAGTCCCTCATTACTGATGTGGGATGTGTTCTGCCAACTACCGTACTGGAAGACATGTTTGGTAAGCAATTCCTATGGCCTGATGCTTTCCTTTTCCAGGCAACTACATGTTTTTACACCAGGATGGGGTGCTTTACATCTCATAAAAGTCTGACACAATATATGAGGTACATAGAGAAGCAAAGGATGTGTGTAAACCAAAAAGATACGGCTTTATGTTTTTACTGTACTAGGAAAATCTCATGACTCAAAGCAGCCTGTAGGGAGTCCTTTTGTGTAATGAACTTTCCCCTAGTTTAGAAGTACTCATTTTGTAAATCAACTTGTTGCAATCCTCCCCTTTCCCCCATCTGGCTAGAACATAATTTCTAAGTCCACACAAATAATTCGCACATCCTAAGAAGAAAGATGTTTTGAAGTTTTAACTCTAATGTGACTAGACAGTGCTGTCCTATGACAACCTTAAGCTTCTTTATGGAAAAACACTGATGAACTCGTGAACCAAAAGTGCCCAACTACAGGAGCTAGACAGGTACCCTGGTCCTAATACTCCGTTATCTGGACCAGGGTTCTCCATTTGTCTAATACTGAATGATTCCAATACAGCTTTTCACCAAAAGGAATCTCCTTAAAACTTGAGGATACATGATACCTTGTGAAGGCTGGATTCCTATCAAGTCCACTCCCTGCTCACCTGGGAAACAGTGTACCCTGCTGCTGCTTCTTTCATCTGTCAGGGCTCAGAGGGGACAGCAGGCCCACCCCCTGCCCACTCCTCCCTCCCAACCCCCTGCTGCCAGAGACCCCCAAGGTCTTTCCTCTCACTTCTGTCCACAATAAAACTTGCTAAAGAAAAGAAACCTTCTCAATTAAATTATTTGGGTTAAAAAAATTAGAATAGCAAGATACTTTAGAAACTATTTAGTTCAGTCTCTGTATTGATACCATCAATGTCTATCCTCCCAGATGCTAAGCTACTGAAGGTGGCAATTATTTTTTTTGGAGTAGATCACCTATGAGTGTTTGGTGAATAAATGAATGAATGAATAACTATTGCTTGAAGGTTCCAGCTGTAGATATAGTATGGGTAAGCACAGCATGTTAATAAAAGTCTCTTTTTTTCCCAAGGAAGAATCACCTGACCTTGTGACTATTTTCACAAGACTTTGAGGGATTATCACAGGGAGCATGATCCCTCCAGGAACTATAAAGAAGAAATCTTTTACTGAGATGGATGGATTTTGGGGTGTGGGCATATACCCTTCAATATGATGTCTATGGATATACCCCTAAATATGATGTCTATTTCACCTTAGGAAAAAAAGAAGAGACTGCTTTAGATTTCCTCAAGAAGAGTTTCATTAGAGAATTCCTAAAAGGAACCTGAGCCACCCTGGAAGTCCTGAGGTAAGACACACCTCCATCTTACTGGAGACAACTGGGAGAGGCACGTCAGCCTGATCAGGCAAACTCACACTTGGTCTCTGAGGGAGATGTGGAACTCATCAGCCATTACTCCTGGACTTCATTTTCAGATCCCCTTCCTGGAGGTTGCAGCTGTGTCTCTCAGGACCTGGAAACTGTCTTCTTCAGAGAGCATCATGAGGTAGATTTCACACAAATGAGTCAGTGTGGTGTGGTGGAAAACCACAAGACATAAAGCCAGGAGACCAGTGAATAATAGTTCCACCACCTACCATCTGACCTAAGTCAAGCCATTCACCCTCTCAGGTCCAACCCCCTTTCCTATGAAGCCCCATAACAATGGTGTCCACCTTCCCTATTTGGGGATTGTTCATTGTTTGTTCATTCAACAAACACAGACTAAGCATCAACAATGAAAAATCACACACAGGCCAAGCCCTCCTGAGCTTGACAGAATAGCATGGAACAAACTTCTCTGAACAACTAATTACAAGTGTTCTGTGGTTTCAAAATAAAGAACAAGATGCACTGGGAGATTGTGAACAGATTCCTAGACTGGTGTTCAAAATAACCTCCTAGGGGAGTCACACATAAGTGAATGGTACTCTAAGAATCCATTCATTTAACCAAAACTTCCGTCTAGCCTATTATGGGCCAGGAAGTGGGCATGTGGCTGGGGATTTAGGAGTGAATAGGACAGATGCGGCCACACCCTAATGGAGCATACAATACAGTGAAGGAGAAAGGTCATCACAGATTACACAAATAATGAATTAATTACTATTGTGAAAAACACTGTGAAAGGAAAGAACTGAGATAAAGTATATAAAAGTGCTTCAGGAATTAGCACATCCTTTATAAATGTTCCTCTCTGTTAAGAAAGCTGTAAGTGGCAAGAGGAGAATAAAATTAGAAGGAAGTCTTTCTCTCTCCCTCTTTTCTTTTCTCTTTATTCCTTTTTTTCCATCCATCCTCCCTGTCTACAGAGCTGGCAAGACAACTGGTATGAATAATAATTGAAGTGTCAGATTTATATTTATTTATTTATTTATTTTTAAAGATTTTATTTATTTATTTGACAGAGATCACAAGTAGGTGGAGAAGCAGGCAAAGAGAGAGAGAGAGAGAGGTGGGGAAGCAGGCTCCCTGCGAGCAGAGAGCCCAACGCGGGGCTCAATCCCAGAACCCTGAGATCATGACCTGAGCCAAAGGCAGAGGATTTAACCCACTGAGCCACCCAGGTGCCCCTGAAGTGTCAGATTTAAATGTGACTAGTGTTATTTTTTTCTGAATGCTTTTATCTAATACTTATAAACTGGAATAATGAACGATATCTAACTTTATTACTAGGAGGAAATTTAAAACCACTGTTTCCATGCATCATGGCTACATGGAGAAGGGATAAAGTGCAGAGCAGTTACAATACTCCATGGGGTAAATTGGGATAAAGTTAATCTAAGAGATTTTTAAAGAGGAGCATCCTTTAAAGAGAGAAGACCTTCCCTAAGAAAACCCAGTGCTCAGGCTGCACAGAACCAAGACAGAGAAAACCCTCAGGCCATTCCAGGAAATGATGGAAAAAAGCAGAACTTTTAATAAGTTTACTATAAAAAATATTAAATTTCAAAGCCAAAAACCAATCTCCTAAGCCTTCAGGAAAACCTTAGCTCAGACTATTTTGTAAACATGACCTAATCTTTATTGAAGACAACATCAATTGGGATCTGGCTGCAAAGAAGCTGGGCAAAAAGAACACAGTCACCTGTGGCAGGATACCCATTGTCAGTCCCTGAAGAAAGTCCACATAGCCACCCACACATTTTTAGCGAATATTTAAGTCACTTGATTTTTCTACATGAACTGTTCCTTCTCCAGGAAGGACAGCTTGGAGAAGCAGGAGGCCCTATTTGTGCCAAAGGAGTGGCTTGGAAGCCCTCCCCAACAGTCAGAGCCTCCCACCGGGCAGACCAGGAGAGAGAGTGCAATTGTTGGGATGACCTCCTTGGGGTCTAACATGGGGTGGATGGCCACCCAAGTGGAGGCGGTTCCTCAGCAGATACAGATAACCACTGAAATATAACAATCCAATACTTTTATCGTGTGGCGTCTACAGTAAGCACTGCCAACAATGCATGAAGGAAAAAACTGTCTGATACTTTAGCATGGAGAACAGAGCAGTCATCAAATCCATCTCTTCATAACTATCCCCTCAATTTAAGAGCTAAGCACACATTACCACTAAAAATAAGTTCATAAAGACCTCATGCTGCTAAGTATGATGTCAGATTTAATAAATGATGACATTTTTAAGGTAATACATTGAAGTATAATATAAAATAAAAAAGCACATGTATGAGGAACATATGGCTAGATGTATTTTCAGAAACTAATCATGAAGCTTTATGGTCAACTTCCAACAATCTTTAAAATAATGTGATAATATGAGACAATAGTGGAAAGAAAAAAGCAGGAGCAAAAAGACTGAGAGGTCTTTTTATTTTTTTTTTATCTCTGGCTGTACAACACTGAATAAATCATTGACTTCTTTTGGTCTTCATTTCCACATCTAATCAGAATAGACAATTTCTAAGTGTACCTCCTAGTCTAAAATGTTACACTTTGAAAAAAAATTATATATTGAAAAAGTAGCCCACTTTAAATTCAAAAAGTGCTTCTGAACGGTATCACTTCAAGAGTATTTCAGGCAATTCATTTATGCAAATATGCTATACTAACACACTATTATACTAGGGAGACAGTTAGATTATGCTGTAACCTTTTCTTCCCTCCCTAGGCCAATTCCTCATACACACAACCAGCAAGAAATATATGTGTCAGCAACAATAAAAATTAGAGGCAGAGTGCTGGCAGCAGAGCCCAAGCAGGCCCTGGGAGCCAACCATATTTTCTGGGGGAGCTGAAGTATCAGAGCTTCAGGCTCCTTGATCCTTCTGCTCCTAGTCTTAGCCCCATAGGGCAAGCAGACCTGAGCCACCTCCCAGGCCCAGTACCTTGGACTATGGACAGTCTGTGTATACTCAAGGTATACTTTGTACCTCAGTGTATAACATAATTCTGACTTTTGGCTACAGTAAGCTCTTAAAATCAGTCTTTTCTGAACAGTGTGTTAATACTTGGGCTTGGTAATAAGATGTCCTTGCTGGCACATGTAGTGTCATTCTAAGAGTGCACATACTCACGCTTACCAAAACTATATTAGGTCTATTAAGTCAGCTTTCACCTCGATGTGATTAAAAACATATAAGGAAAAATATATAATGAAAAAGATTATTCTAGGAGCCAGGCCACATTTTATAGGGAATTGTAGTAACTCTGATCTATTGAGGATCATATATTACTGTTCTAGAAACTACAAGTCCCTCAAGTAGAAAAAGTCAATGCATCTTCTCCAAGTATCTTATGTACTAAGAGCTTTCTGTTCTTCCTCTCAGAGCTGGGAGACATTTCCAGGTAGTAATTTTGAAAGGCTGTCAGAGAAATCTGCTGTCTCCTCTGGCATACATGGCAATGATATATCAAAGTGCTCCTTAATAGTCTCTTATCTATTCAGTCATCAGCATCTACTGAGTTCATCCTATGTGCTTGTTACTGAGCTCGACACTAAAGAAATCAAATCAAGCACAGCATTGTTGCCCTCAAAGGATTTGTAATCTGTCTGGATAGACAAACACATAAATAACTTAAGTAATAAATTATCACCTTGGAGCTGTATGAACTAACAGGCTAGATAGTAGAGAAGACCCTATTGTAGCTGCTGGGAAGATTATATAGTCCAAAGATATGGTAAATATGAAATTTACTTATGGACTAAGCAATAAGGCATGAAATGGTAAAACTTGTGAAAATATCAGTTACCTGTACTAATAGGAATGTAAGTTTGCAGTAATTTCTTTTTTTCTAGATAACTGACTAAAATAAGAGGGGTTCCTTCAGAAAGACCTTAGAAAGCCAAATATTTTGCCACTAGATCCTTTACAACCTCAAATGATCTACCAATCTTCAGTAATCTTAATAGAAATAGAAATAAATTTCTCAAATAGAAAATCTCATATGGAAAACAGCTGAAATTATTATTTCTGACAAACTGCAAAAGTATGTTAAGGTCTAAATTGCTATCTCAACCACAAGATATTCAGATTATAGGATAAAAAATACTAAGAAGCTATATATAATCACTTATAATGTGGCTATTAAAAGTTCAGTAGTTTAAAAAGATCCTTACAACTGGATATGGTTGTATATTTAAATCGTTGGGTCAAATAAGAGATATAAAAACGTTCAGATTACTTCAGTTAAAACCACAGTGTTTTTCTGAAACTTGTTGCATTTACATGCCATTTCATTATTTAAGTTTGTAAGAAACAAAAGTTTCATGTCTAGAATGTGAACATCAATATAACATTGTGAGAAAATCTATCATTCTGGGAAAAACTGAAGTTTCCATTGATAAAAGCTTAATGTTCATATAAACACATACTATATAAAATAGCAAATTCTCCTAGTCACAAATAGACTTATTTTTTTCCTATCAAAGTATTCTAATTATTAGCCCCAACTGTCTACTATAGATTATTTAGCAATCAGGAGATTGCTAAATACTTTATTTATAAAGTTTCTAAATAGTCGATTTTCAGATATTCAGCATGCATATTACCACAGAAAAGATTGCTGATGTATTTTTAATCTTTGTTGGTGCCCCCCCCTTTTTAAATCCAACTTCAGAATCAAATTTCTACAGTGGTAAATATTAAGTTTAAAGTTATACAAAAACATGGCCACTATGTAAGGTTTTAAGTTATATGTTTTGTTTTCTATTTCAAATGCAGTATTTGGTTTTGTACATATTTTTTACATATTTTGTTTGTACATACAGAGAATTAGTCCATCTTGCATAGTCACTTTCATATAAAAATGTTCATGGGCATTTAATCTACTGACTTTTTTGGATGGCTATGTGAAATCAGTAGAACTGAAGAAAAAACTGGGAGTAAATCCTAATCCAAAAGCTATTCCTGTCTAATTCAGCCATCTGTGAATAAAAGCACCTCAAAGGTGTTTTATCTGCAGAGCTTCTTTGGGCTAAAAAATTTACAAGTTCACTATGAACCAGGCATTAATTTTATTCAATTTTTTTTTTTCCCCTAACAAGGAAAGCTCCTTTACTTGGTTCATTTTGTCTCCTCAATTAAAACACAATTTCTGAGCTATTATATTTTCCTTCCATTTAAATACTGCATATACACAGCCTGACAGAATTTTTCCCTTGTTGGAGAGCTTGTTCTATTTCCTCCAAACTAGATAAAGTCCACTCAGATGCGTTGATGGGAGCCTCCCTCCCCCCTTCATGCCCTCCCAACCTTGGATGCCTTTCCCGTCCTCCTCCAGCATATTCTTGGGTGGGCAGAAACCTGGGGAGACGCAGCCACCAGGCAGCTTGCTACTCTCCTAAAGCACATCTGGGCTTTATATCAGGCCTTTAATTAATCCTCAGTGAAAGCCAAGCTATGACATTTTGACTGGGCAGGCTCCAGTTCTGGACAGGTCTTGATTTATTACGACTGAGTCTCAACCAACTTTGATTTATTTCAGCTTTGGGGAGGAGGGCAAGCTCAGAACAGAAAAGTGCTGTTGAATGTAGAACACGTGATGTCAGCACAGAACCTCCAGACTTCCGAGGGCTGTAGGCAGGACAAAACAGTTCAGAAGAGAATGGCCTCTGAGAAAGCCATTTAAAAAAAAAAAAAAATTGAGATTTAAATAACCCAAAATTGTACATAACAAAATAAATGCAATCATGGATGAAAGAAAATGGCTCCCAACATAGCTGGCTGACTGCAGTGGGATAGGAAGCC